GTTTTAAGCATCATTTTCATTTTCAGGGACCCAAAATGAGCAAAATCCAATGACATTTATTTTGGCTGTAGACCAGTGCAACACCTTCATGAACAATGAGAGTGCTGCATGGTTTAAGCACTGACTTTTACCATCTAACGAGGGAAAAATTCACTCTTTCACTCCTCACATCTCCCGCTTGTGCATGTTATTAAATAGCATAGTGTGTGTTTTGTGCTGTATCCCTATATTCGCCTTCTTTTTCCTCTTACCTCCAAACTGGTTGCAGTAGACGGCTATCCCTCTCAGTCATCCTCTTAGGGAGTTCTTCAATCCCTCTGTTGTCAAGTGCTGCTCATTGGTTCTTTACATTATAGTATCAAGTGTCTCGCATTGACTTTATACTGTACATGACAGCAGGGTCACAAACACAAGCAAGCGAAGCTTCTGTTGCAAGTTGTTCCACTTTGACATCAAATAGCAGCAAGTCTGTACATTCTGTAGCCCAGAAACCAGTGCACAGCCATACTGGAGCCATAACTTGAGAAACATACAGAGGAGCTGGCAGACATTTTTAATAAGAGTTCCCCCAAAAGCTGCACCATATGGCTGCCTGAGAGGCAAATGAAAAAGTTCACATTTTGCTGCCTGTAAAGTTAATCACTGCTGATGCACAGTAACGTAAAAGGACAGCCTGGTTAACCCTTAAGGACCCACAGTGACACTGGTGTCACTGCCTCTTTACACTTAGAGACTTGGTTATATATGATTCATTTGATATAAGACCCCCGTAATTTTCATGAAAGTAGAAATAGGTCTGGGCTCTTAAGGGTTAAGCATGTGAACATTTTGATCAACTCAAAACTTCTGTCAGGGATTTTCCCTGGGATTGTGACAGCTGCACAGTTGGATTTTAGTCAGAAACTTTGATTGTGAGCCATATACGTGTTTATTCTGTGGCACAATCTGGACAACTGATTTAATTCAAATCAGTCCTGTTAAACAAGAGGAAGAACTAAAACTTTACAACAGATGGTATATACATATATGTGTTAAACTACGTGTGAAGTAACACAAAGTTTAACACGTCTCTCATCAACAGTTGGGTAGGTTTCTATCTTCCTGTCTTTTCTGTCACTTGGTGTGTGTGTCTGTGCGTGCGCGTAACATCATTACCTCTGCTCTGATTCCTCTAACTTGATCAACAGTAGCTCCTGGGTTTCATATTTCCTGCACTGATGCCATTGAGCATCAAAGACAGCTAAGGAAAACAGTGGACGCTCTGTGTTTGTCACACATCCCTTCTGAAGTTAATTCACTTTGGCTGCTGCCTTGACAAATCGCAGCAAAAGGAAGAGAGCATGGGGTCAGTTGGAGCTGAGACTAAATATTCACTCCCACAGAAACACTGCTGTCTGAACACCAATCAATGAAAGTCAATTATTAGACACTGGACACCTGTTTGGAACTGTTGAAAGAAGAAATTAAAAGTTAAAGTAGATTAGATTTTTGCCCCCAGGTCCTGAAAAGAAAATAAATTGTCTACTGTAGAACATAAAAAGCAGAGACAGCTCTGAGCCAAGGACTTGCTCAGTGACCACAAACTGAAAAAGGAAGACTGTTGCCAAAAGTTGCGGAGAAGACAGACTATATGTCCAGTAATGAGGATGAGACACAGAATCACTTGCCCTCATTGATGACCTTCTTCCGCCTGTCGTGGGCTACG